TCAATGGAACATCAATTAACAACATTAGATATGCGGACGATACTATCATAATAGCAGACAACCTCCAAGACCTCCAAAAGCTAATGAACAAGACAGTTGGGTATGGAGAAGAATATGGATTATCAATAAACACGTATAAACAAATAAGCACGTACAAACTTCAATAAAATGAGAAAGGTACTTTGTGCAAGAGAACTAAAATTAGAGGAATTGAGAGTTAGGCTGGCAAGGTGTTATATTTTCTCAACTCTGCTTTATGGGATGGAAGCATGGACACTTAACGTGTCGACTGCTAAAAAGTTGGAAGCATTTGAAATGTGGGTGTATAGAAGAATCCTGAAGATATCATGGACCGAGCATGTGACAAACAACGAAGTCATGAGAAGAATCAACATAAAAATGGAAGTATTGGAAACCATCAAGACACGAAAGCTGCAATTCCTGGGCATGTTATGCGTAATAATGAGAGATACAACCTACTTCAATTGATTATACAAGGGAAAATCCATGGCAAGAGAAGTGTAGGAAGGAGAAGAATCTCATGGTTGCGTAACTTGAGGGAATGGTACGGATGCACATCAATTGAACTATTCAGAGCAGCAGCATCTCAGATCAGAATAGCCATGATGATTGCCAACTTCCGTCGCGGAGATGGCACGTGAAGAAGAAGAATATTTTTCTTGTTGTTTGAAACGTTATAAACCTTTGGCATTCCTTTCCTCAGATAGCTTCGCTTTCTCCGTGGATGTGTTGTTCCAGGCATCTGGAATACAGCAAACATAATTCTTATTCATAAGAAAGGGGATATTAAAAACTATATACCATAAGATATTTACAAAGATCATCAACAACCGATTAACAAATACATTAGATGCTGCAGAGTCAAGAGAGCAAGCTGGTTTCAGAAGTGAATTCAGTACCATGGATCATATTTACAAGCTTCGAGAACTAACGTGTAGAGCTAAGGAATATGAAATACCGCTAGCATTAGATTTCGAGAATGCTTTCGATTCTATATATCCCAAGGCAGTAATAGAAGCTTTGACCAACCAAGGCATTGACTAACCGTACATAGAAACTTTAGCAAATATATACTATTATGATTGTTTATTTTGACTTTAATCTTAGTTTATTGAGCCAATAAAAAAATATAACTTATTTGTTATCAAAAGTAAAATAAACTCCTTATATTACCTGTGTTCGATGGATTCAAAGATTTTCTAGTTGTCCTTTATCGGGATAGAGAAGAAGGATAATAATAAAAAAATATTATATTACAAAAAAATTACGTTTTCTTTATTTTATATGAACGAATAAAACAATTATCAAATTCTGCCGTTATCTTATCAATCAGCATACAAGAAAATAAATCAAATTTTTATAATAATAAGATTTTAAATCTACATACATTTATATTAAGTGAAAACCAATTTTACTTAAATTTTTCTTTACTTGAAACAAGAAACAACAAAACTTTAAACTTTTGATTAGCCTAACAAAACCTCAGTTCTTAAATTTGAATGCTAATGACCATGATGTCAAACAGATCCTTCACAGATATAAAATTCAATTGTACAAAACACTTACAGCTTATTTTCTTATTGAGTTGTATGTTGGAACATACCCAGAAAAGTCCAGTCTCCTCAACGATGTGATCTCTCCTTTTTGGCACCTAGGCTCCTTCCCTACGTCTCTGCAAACCTGCTGCACTAACCAAAAACACCTGATTCACTTCTCCAAAAACTCAACTACTTATTAATGACACAAGCACCTCCTTTTGTCAACTTGATGCCATAAAACTACTTTCACAAATCTTCACAAAATGCCCACGGTAGATACAAGGACCTCTTTTAATCTACTTGCTATCTCCTTCTGCAAAACTATTCAATTCTTTTCACAATGCCGGTATCCAACTCACGAACCACACCCTGTCTTGAGACAAACGACTGTTTCCTTCGATGACCAAATTATCACTAACTTCTCCGGTTCTCCTGATCGGCTCACAAATTCCCATTCAACAACGACCGTCCAATCAAAAGCTCAAATTGTGTTTACCATGATTTTGGAAAAGCCTAATTTCGGTTTCAGAGAAAAACTAAATAGCTTACTTTAAAATTGGTTTTGTCAATACACAATTTATACATATTTCAAAAGATTAGAATATGGTCATTTAATACTCGATTATACAAACAATGAAAAGATTAACTTACAGGTAAAATGTCTTCTAATTCTAAACAAAGGTTTTTTGATAATTTTGTTGGAAACGGAAAAAGGTCGTTTGCCAAACAAATTTCTATTCTTATCTACACTAAATCTTATCTTAAATTACTATATACAACTTGTTTATACTGATACCTTAAAATTTTATTTCGATGGATCTTTTTATTTATTTTTCTTTGGTTGGGAAAGAAGAAACATGACAATACATACAACAAAAGCTAAGGTAAAAATCTATGAAAACACTCCAGAATTTTACTAGCAGAGGCATCCGATAAGGAGACATCATATCATTAAAGATCTTCACTGCAACTCTAGAAAATATAATCAGCATAATGAACGGGCAGAACAAACGAATATACATTGATGGAGAATACAGATTTGCAGACGACATCATTCTGATTGCTAATAATCCTGCAGAACTAGAAGAACTTGCCTGAAGCCAGTTGATTGCCATGCCAATCAACCTGAAGATTGAAAGATTCAACATCTTGAACTCATAATTTAAGGAAAAATAGAGGGTAGGAGAAGCGTAGGAAAAAGTCGCGTTTCCTGGTTGAAGAACCTGAGAGAGTGGTTTGTTTGCAGCTTAAGTCAATTATTCAGAGCAGCTGCCTCGAAGGTCAGAATAGCCATGATGATTGCCAACCTTCGTCGCGGGGATGGCACTTAAAGAAGAAGAAAGTCACTCAAAGGTCAATGAAGCGATGCATGCTAGGTATAACAAAGAGAGATCGAAAAAGGATAGAATGGATCAGAAAGATAACCAAGGTTACTTTGGGGCAGTGGGCGAAAAGAACTGACAATAAGTGGTCCATTAGAATTACACTGTGGTATCCAAGAGGCTCCGTTCGACGTTTATACTACTGCCAAAAAAGGCAAATACAAAGGAATGCAACGAATATCGTACGATAGCTTTGATGAGTCATGCTCTAAAACTGTTCTTAAAAATAATCCATAATAGGATCTATAGGAAATTAGACGTAGACATCAGTAACACTCAGATGAGATTCAGAAAAGGGCTGGGTACAAGGGAGGCTCTGTTTGCAATGAACGTTCTCTTGCTTAGACATGAACCAAGAAATTTACGCCTGCTTTATTGATTTCGAAAAGGCCTTTGACAAAGTACAACATGAACCACTAAGACAAGTTCTAATAAAGAAAAATATAGACAGCCGAGATATTCGAATTATATGCAATCTATATTGGAATCAAACAGCAAATGTCAAGGTTGAGGGCAGACTAACAGAAGAAATTCAAATCCGTCGAGGAGTCCGGCAGAGATGTATCTTATCGCCACTTTTATTTAATCTGTATAGTGAAGCTATCTGTGAACAAGCACTCGAGGAAGAAGATCTTGGTCTGATAATAAATGGTAAGACGATCAACAATATAAGGTATGTTGACGATACAGTTCTCCTAACGGGAACGCTAGTAGAACTACAACATCTCGTTCAAAGTCTCAATATATACTGTAACAGTTACGGCTTGAAAATTAATTTGAAAAAAACTAAATTTATGGTAATCACGAAATCAAAGAACATCAGAGCTAATCTTGTAATAGACAATACAACGATTGAGCGTGTGCCCTGTTATAAATATCTAGGTGCTTGGTATCACAGACGATACTGATCAAACAAAAGAGATTAGATGTAGAATAGAAATCGCTAGATCAGTCTTTAATAGAATGCGCAAAACTCTTTTGCAATCGTGATATCAATATAAAGTTACGAATACGAATGCTGCGGTGTTATGTCTTTTCTACCCTGTTATATGGAGTTGAGGCTTGGACACTAAAACAGTTGACCATAAAAAACATCGAAGCTTTCGAGATGTGGTGCTATAGACGCATTCTCAGAATATCATGGATGGACCGCGTCACTAACACGCAAGTATTCCAAACTTTAGACAAAAGATGCGAAATTCTAAATGAGATAAAAACTAGAAAGATGGAATACTTGGGGTACATTGTGAGAGGTGAAAAGTACGAACTTTTAAGAAACATCATGCAGGGCAAAATAAGTGTGGGAAGAAGAAAAATATCGTGGCTTCGTAATCTACGTGAATGGTTCGGGTGTAGTTCGATTGAACTTTTCAGGCGCGCTGCTAACAAAGGCGCAGTGGCCATGATGATTTCCAATCTCCGCTAGGAGTGGCACGAGAAGAAGAAGAAGATCCAAGAGGGGTCAAGAGACCAAGAAGGCGTCCAAATTTAAGATGGGAGTATGACATAAGGAAACAAGCAGATACAACAAGGCATAGAAAAGTGAATTTTAGACAATAGATTTTAGACGTAGCTGAAAACAGACGATTACTATAAATTGTATTGTATACAAAGTTTGGTATTCTATAGGTAGAATTCATAGAGTAGTAAATGCGTTTTTTTGATAAAAATATAGACTTTTTATTATTGTACCATGTACTTATATTCTGCAAATTAATACCTGCAAACACAAAACTATTTAATAATTTTTGTACAATTATAAATCACATACAAATTTACACTTCTTTGTATACCAACCTGCAGGTATAAAAACGTTTTCTTCGTACTTATTAAATATTTCTAACTTCAAAGAAATTCATTAAAAAGACAATTAAACTTCTCGTATAAAAGTAGTATAAGAATACGATATTGAATAGATATTTTTATATAATCTCAATGAATTCTTTTTTTGTGTGTAATAAGCGGAATCCCCTTCAAAACTCTAGATTAAACAATGTTTGGGTAAAAAGTATTCCAAGAATAGCACACAAATATAGTATATATTCCAGATTTTGATTAAGATTAATCATAACAAGTGAAACGTTCATTACAATCATTAATCATGATGTGCAAGTTAGTAGTAAGTACTTATTATCTATTATCTGTTAGTTATCATTCAAATGTAAACTGTGAAGGTGTTTTTATCTTTATTTATTTAATAACGATAATATTTTATTATTTATTGTATAAATCACATCCTGGTATAGGTTTTTACCATTTACACTTCAACAAAATATTCTACAGAAAGAATAGATCATCCAAAAGAGTAATAACAAGGTAGTAGATATTTTTATAGAAATTCCCAATGACTTTGTTTTGATTTGTGCCTATTTAATTTTACTTTAAGCTGTTTTGATTACTTTTATCCGAAAATCTGGAGTTGGAGTGGGTTTTGGGCAAAATGGAAAGTCTTCCTCTTCTTCTTCCTTCTTGTATGCAGGCTTTAAAGCCTGTTACTTCTTCAATATTAGCCTCCTAAATTGTTTAAATTATCGCACCATCTTTTTCTTGGTCTGCCAATACTTATTCGTCCATTTGGTGACTTATCTCGTGCTATTCGTACTATCCTATCCTCTGTCATTCTATTAATGTGTTCGTTCCACTCCTGTTTCCATTTTGTCACCCATCCATTTATGTCTTCTATATTGCATGCTCTTCTTATGTTTTTGCTTCTCTTCCTGTCCAACAGATTTTTCCCTGATATTCGTGGAAGTGTTTTTATCTCTGTTGTTTCTAGTAGTCGTCTCGTTTTAGATGTGTCAGGTCTTGCCTCCGCCGTGTATGTTAATATAAGTCTAATTGCTGCTTTATAGATTCTTGGTTTTGTGTCTTGTCTTAGGTTTTTGTTCTTTCAGATTGTGTCATTAAGAGATTCCGCCGCTTCTTCCTTCTGTAGGAGCTGTAGGTAAACTGTAGGTAACTCCTTCTTCCATTTGAAATCTAAAGTTTCCTCCTATCTCGTTCCATGCATTATCGTATATTTTATCTTCTCTTGATTTATTATAATCCCGAATATTGTTCTTCTTTTATTATATGCTATACATTGATGATCATTTAAATGTTGTTTCCTGGGTTTTTATCTTGTTTTCTGATTATTGTCTTCAGTACCAAGTTGAACAGCACAGTTAATTATGGCTCACCCTGATGAAGTCCTACTTTTGTTTCAGAACAATAATTAATTTGAGATTTGAATATTCTACTCAAAATATTTTTGTTTGCCACAATTTGTTTTCCATGAACGGTTTCTCACAGAATTTCATAATTTGTTTATTTACACTTCCACAATCTTTGTACAAGTTTGTACATTTATTTTGTTTTAGTTGGCTACTTTGGCTGTATACCTATGCTTAGAAGCAGCGTATGGACAGCATTCTTATGGATTGAATCCTGGTCAGCAGCGCCACGCAACTGGCTTCAACCCTAATCAAAATAGGCCCCACGCTACTGGTTTCAATCCAAATATTGGCAGTGGACGCCACTACAGAGACTTGAGCAATGCTGACACAGGCAGAAAAGTTCTCGCACCTCAGTAAGTAATTCTTAGTATAGTTTGAATGTTTAAATTATTCCTTAAAGCAAAAGTTTGAAAAAATATAGTATCAAAAGAGCAAAAAAGTCACTTGTTTATTTTATGTACAACCGGTTGACAACCAGTTTCGTCCAGTGATCAAAACAGGTCATCGCTTACTTACTAAATAAATACTTAGATTAGAATAAATAGATTTTTTTTTAATTTATAATTGAACACTGACATAATGATCACTTTTTGAACGTGATGTTATCATTACATATTGTTTAGTAGGTCGATATAGTGTTTCAGTCAATTTGAAGTTGAAATCAGTAGATCTGCTGAAAAATCAGTAGACCTGGTAACCCTGCGAGTGGTAGTAATGGGCAACGTAAGTCACAGTATATTGCTTTATAAAGAATTCTTTGGCAATATACCATTATCTATGGCAATATACTGTGATACAGTGACAAAACAGGCTGTGACATCGAAACTGGCTTCACTTTTCGATGGTTTATTAAATGAAAGTTACCTGTCCTCTCTCTTTCCTTGCCTAAGAAATAAATAGATATATTGTGAGTAAGTCTGTCATTTATTTCTACTTTGAAATGGACTCACACGAGCAACCAATTTATTATTTGAATAGAATACTAGTTCAGGAAATGGATGTCAAAAGGCGATAGAAAATGTAGTTTGACAGTTAATTAAATGAAGAATTTGAAGAAAACACGTTGATCTAAACGTTAAAGAACGATAAAGCAACTGAACCAGATGATATTCTTGGGAAAATGTGGTAAACTTTAGGAGAGACAGAAACAAGTTGGCTAAGAAGTTTATTTGATAGAATTCTGCAAGAGGGACAAATGCCGGACGAATGAGGAAGCAGTAGTTTAATACATGTTTGCAAAAACAAGGAAAATATACAACAATTTATAAACTACATGGCCATAGAACTACTTATTTACGCCATGAAAATATGGGAAAGTGTAGTTGATAGACGGATAGGTAATGAACCGAAATATCCGATAATGAGTTTGGTTTTATGCAAAACATATCAGAAACAGATGCAAACGTTTACTTTTCAAATCCTAAGCCATCAACAAAAATCTTTATCATGTATATGTATCTATTATTTTAAAAAAGTCATTATTGTTTACTCAAAATTGTATTGGATTGAATTTATTTTTGTGGAATTGACGTATTTTTTTGTTTTCAGAGCTGATTCAAACGGACCTGCTCGTCACGGATTTGAACGCGGTCCAGGACCCGTAATTCCTCATCACTAATAGATTCAAGAAACAATAAATGCCGATGAACCTTTTATATACTCTATACTATAATATACATTTTTAAAGTTGAATATAGTTTTATTTGAGAGTGAGTAGATGTGAAACGGATTATTTCATAGGCTTCTGCACACAAAGAGTAGTAGAAATGATACGTTATTTCTTTAAACTTCGAGCCACAATAAGTAATGTAATTTTTTAAGAAACACCCTGTATTTTATCATTTTAAAGAAAAAGAAAGTCAATTGTCTTTCAAATAGTATTAGCGTTCCCTATACCTAAGTTATTTGGAGATAATTGAAGACCTTAACACTTTGGCTACTGTGTACCATTTCTGGTACACAGTTGATGTTTACCAGAAACTGCGTGTAAATTTGGTCACATGAAATGGTAATGTTTCAAGCTGTGTGTACATTTGGTGAACATAGTTCTGATGGTTTTAAATGCGTATCTAGGTTCCTATAGTTTACTGCTAAATTCTGGCGAAGCAGTTTGGGACTTAATCAACAGATGACTGTACTATGACCGATTTTTTAAAATTATGGCGGAGCAATTTGAGACTCCTTCAGCAGATGGCATATTATGGCCAGTTTCTGACTTGCAGAAACTTGTTGTTTGTGCAATATTAGTCTTGTGTGTTTAGGGTCCTAAAATTAGTACTTAAAATGTCAAATAAAAAATTAAGTGATGCTGAACTACGTGAAATAGCCGAGAATATGAGTGAAATGGAGTATGAGTTTATTAGTGAAGATGATGATGATGATGCTATGGATATAGATTGTCCAAATGATCAAGATTCGTGTTCTTCTTCCTCTAATTTAGAAATTAACAGTGATGGGCAAGAGTTAGAATTCGAATCTGATCTAGAATCTCTCAACAACGATTCTGAACCTGATAATTTTTTAAATAATCCTAATCCTAATGTCATTTGAAATAATTGTGCAGGTAATATAGGTATAAATTAGGATTCACTTTTATAGTTTTGATTTTATAATTTTGTAGGTAATTTGAACACATTTACTTTCACGGAAGATTCAGTATTTTCCCAAAGTTTTTTTGCACAAAGGGAAGGAGATCATCCAATTCATTTTTATAAATTATTTATTGACAACGATATCTTATCACTTATTGCCGAGGAAACCAACAGATATGCTGAACAGAAAATAGTATTAGGAATTACAAATGAAACATTAACAATAACAGCATTATTAGGACAATGGAGAAACACAAATCAATCCGAAATTTTTGTTTTCTTAGGTCTTCTAATATGGATGGGTTTGGATCGTAAACCCACTTTGAAAGATTATTTTAGCACCAATATGCTGTACAAAAATGAAATTGGAAAATTTGTTCACATGTCCAGGATAAGGTTTGAGCTGCTTTTGTCCAATTTGCACTTCTCAAACAACGAAATTGCCTTAGATGATAGGCTCAAAAAATTCCTTCCCTTGCAAAATTTGTTAATCAAGAAGTTCCAATCAGCATATACTCCTGACAAGAATGTGTGTATAGATGAGACGATGATTCCTTTTCGAGGACGACTGAGCTTTCGCCAATATATACCGGGAAAGCGTCACAAATACGGTGTGAAATTATTTAAACTATGTGGAGTGAAAGATTACACATACAATTTTAAAATTTATACAGGAAAATAGCAAACACCTAATGAAAAGCCAATCGGTACAAAAGTGGTGCTACAGCTTATGGAACCACTTTTACATTCAGGTCGCGTTTTGTGCAGAGATAATTATTACACTAGCTAGTGAATTTAGCACACGAACTTCTGAACAAAGATACACGTTTAATACGCACACTGAGAAGACACAGGAAGCATAATCCAAAAGTAGTAAGTGAGGCTAAATTAAAAAGGGGTGAATTAGTCATGAGACAGAGTAACAGTAAAATCATAATTGGAAAATGGAAAGACAAAAGAGATGTCATGTTTCTCACTACGGAGTCTGTGCCTGAAATAGTGGACGTGCCAACAACAAGGGGTGTCGTGAGAAAGCCTTCCACAATCGTGCAGTATAATAATGTGAAATCATTTATAGACGTCTCTGATCAAAAAGCATCATATTCATCAGCAGTGCGTAGGGGTATTAAGTGGTATAGGAAAGTTTCAATTGAACTTTTGGTTAACACATCTATTATAAATGCACATACTGCATACGAGGCTATAACAAACAAAAAGATAAGTATCACTAAATTTAGAGAAGAAATCGCCTCAGAAATTTTTCGTAGTAAAAATATTCAGATGAAAAATTTGGATGATCGTCGTGTTAACCAAGAAAGAAATCACAAACTTTCCGAAGTGGAACAGAGAGGTCGTTGTACAAGATGTAATAAAAATAATAGTGCTAGAAATGGACGTAACTTTGCTATAAAAGAAACAAAACGTGTTAAAACATCTTGTCTAGCATGCAGTGATAAGTTTTTGTGTACCAACTGCTTTTTTGACACTCATTACTGTCAAGCAAAAAAATGAACATTGTGTCCAAAAATGGTACACATAGTTTCTAAGAAGATAATTACGCATTTATTTCTGCCACAAACTGTGTGTACCATTTTTTGACACGGCCCTTACACATGATTTTTTTTTTCAAAAAAAATACCTAAATGTTGATATTTACATGTTTTTAGTATTAAATATTGTAAATTTTACTAAAATATAGTTTCAGTTTCTGACAAAAAACTTCAAATTTATAGCCAGTAGCCAAAGTGTTAAACAACAACTGTACAAGCCACAATCTTACTAAAATGAGTTATATATATTTTTCAAATGTTTAGGTTCCTATCTACCTACAAAATAAAAACTACAGCTTTTTCTTCATAGATGACTCCACGAGTTATAAATATACTTGTTACTTTTATATTGAAATCTACTATTTTAAGTGCAACAACAGTATTGCTAAACAGTTTTAACTGCAACGGTGACGATTTGACACGA